CATGTACCTGTATGCATCTTGATGGCGTATGGTGCGTCATAGTCTCCTCCTCAGGTGAATATCTTTCAATGGTTGTTTCAGTGTTTTTACAACGTCCAGAGGCAAGCCGACTGGGATGATATACCGAGTATATGAGCTTCCACAATTAATTCAATACAATACTATACCTGTAAACATCTTGCTGGTACTAGTATATGATGTATCATAACTTATATTGTCAGAATGGTTGGCAATAGCAACATGATATAAACCGACTTAAGCTGGAACTGCAGTCTACTGGGCTCTGTTATCCAGATCTCATTCTTTTGTCGGGCTCTTTCCCAATTAAAAAAAACTTCCCTGCTTCTTCATACCAGTTGCTTTCACCATTTTTGTGTGTTCTTCCATTGCGCGCACTTCTTTCCGCACAATTTGCCTCTTCCCAAGTTCTGACGACATGCCATATCTTGTCGATGTTATTGTTCCTATTCCTTGCCTGCCTATTGTCACATTTCCCACACACTTGGCTTGCCTAAAGCTTGACTCTGTCTCCTGCGCTGTTTTCTTCGCTTACTACTTTTTACCAGTCTTGATGTTCATTCTTGCCTCCCGTACCTTGAAATCCTTACTGTTGCACATCAGAAACTGTCTGATGTCAGTGGTAATTGCAACTATGTTCCTGTGCTGTATAAACCAATGCTGCTGAAGCTTCTAAGAAATGCGAGCCATCTCCTAAGGTACCCACTGATCCGACTCTCCATCCAACTGACGTCAGTGGCACATTGTTAACAAGTAGAGACCAAAGAATTCGTAGAGGTACTACGAGCCGGTATATCCACTCTTTGTAGTTTCCTGGTAAGGCACTTTTGTCTATGATGTCCATCTAATTCTTCATTTTATTACTAGGATACCCAACATTTTGTTTATTGCTCAGTGAATCATCAAAGAACTTTCCTAAGCACTTGATCGATTTTTCTGAGACAAGGGGGATGATCTCTTATCCCACTCTGAACTTCTCTTCTTTGACTTTCCTCTTTTTTCAATACGAGTCTCCTAGACTTTGTTGGCTTGGTCTTCATACGGGATCAACCTATGATACCGGTATTTACTATCTCCTTCAAGGTCCATGTTACTTCTACGCGTATGATGGTCTTTGTGCTTATTGTCATGTCATCCACAAACGTTCTGACAGGGGGGTTGTCTCAGATAACCTTTATCCATGAAACTCTGCTCATCTTCTCCACCGACTTTACCATCAATTTCATGGCTGCAGAGAACATGCAGAATTACTGATACTGTACAGTTTGTGAGAATCCAAACTTCTAGGCGCTGCCATGATGTTGTGAAGTCCTAAGTTGTCACTGAAGCCTGTCATAGTAACTCTTGAGTAGCGTCTGTATCCTGTCTGGTGTATGGTAGCGCTGTAGTATAAGTTGGACTGGCTTATGAGGCATTCAAGTTATCTTCTTTAGAACACTTGTATGCTCTTATTGCTCTACACATCCGGAGACCCCTGACACACCTCCTTTCTGTACAGCTATGTGTAAGTATTTGTTAAACAGCATATAGGTTGTAATCTTCTTGGCCAAAACAGCCAGGAAAAAATTTCCCTTCGATATATAACAGGGTAATGGTATGGAGCTGCGAGTGACTTTGAGTTTTCCTCATTTGCAATGAAGCATCCCTCGGCTTGGTGCCAATTGTCAGCTAACTGCTCCCTTCTCTAAACAACTCTCCGATGTTTCTAAAAACGTTGGGTTAATCTCGGATATATCTTGTAAACTTTGTATGGGATTTCATTTGGTCCTCGCGATCTACATGGGATCTGGCTGTTACTGGTTACCCAGGATGAAATGTACCTGTAAACATCTTTAAGATATAGGATGCATCATGGTCCCGTCCTCAGGTTGATCCTCCTTCATTGGTTGTTTTGGCAATTTCCAATACAACCTCCAGATGTACTCCGACTGGGGGTTGGTAAAGACCAAGCCCGGAACCACTCTAATCTCCGCCATCACTGCAACACATTGAATGATCGTTCACTTGCAAATAGAGTCTTAGTGTTGCATTTTCCACTTCTCTTCTTTCAACTGTTCATGGTAGCTCAATGGGTAGAGCGCTCGCTCCGTGATCGTAAGGTCGTGAGTTCGAATTTAAAAATGGGTAGCAACTGTTCCTTCAACCTAACAATAAGTATGAAAATCGTCAGTCCGCATTCGGACTAACGACAGACTGCAAACACTGAGAAGTCCACCGCATCGACAACAGAACCTACGAAATGATGGATCCAAACGAGACTAGTGACAATTCTGTCTTATCAACCTGTTTGTCAATAACTTAACCCGTTTTAGAAATTGTTTATACGTAGAGCACGCTTCGGCTCGGCGTATCGAATCAACCCCGTATGCAGTCGACAATGGCATTCTGCTGCATAAGTACATACATGTAAGGGAAGTTGATGACCGAAAAGTTAAGCCATCACGCCCACCACAAAGCCCTGCTGCCAGATCACCATCAACGCCCCTTTCCATCAAAGTATCCACATAAAGTATGTCAGATATTTATTGTGATCTTGTATTTTGTCTGTTGTCTTGCATCAGTTTTAAAATTTAAAACATTTTCTGCTTCTCTGGAACTGAACCAATTTCAATCATGTTTTGGTAAATAAATATCATCTATAGGCAAATGGGATCAAAAACTGAATTTCATTTTTTCTGTCCCTCTAGGACACAAGGGGTGGTTAACTCCTGGACATCAGCAGTCATACTGTTGGCATAGATTTAAACTTCCTTTTGGAAAAACTTTGGAGGTTCATACTTCATACAAAAGTTGCTCATGTCCTGAAAGTGTCCCATAACCGTGAAACAGTCCTTTGATCACATTCAAGGTGACTTTTAGGAAAAAAGTCAGTGCTTCTAATAGAAAACTATAGCTTCAAGCCATTTAAAATATAACATACTTCTGAAATCTGAATTTACCATGACCAAGGTCATTCCATCAAATTCAAATGTCCACAAGTCTGAAGCAATGCTCTGGCTGCAGAAACTGCAGCGTTATGGTTTTATTTCATGGTCAAAGACTATAATATTAAAACCATAAAGCTAGTTTCTACAGCTAGCAATGTTTGTGTCTAGTATCAACTTCTAATACCGTATATACTCGCCTATAAGTCGGCTTTTTTGGAGTTAATCTCTGGTCTAAAACTCTTTGTCCGACTTATAGGCGAGCTATTAAAAGTATGGTTTTATATGAAGTCAGTCCATCTGATATACAAGCTTATTACATTTTTACCTGTGAAATACTGTAATTTATTCATTCAATAAAAATGATATCCTGTCACAGTGTGAAAGGATATCAAAATGTGTATCCTGTCACAGTGTGACGAATATCAGAAGTGCGGGAAAACTCTCGATTTCCCTTCCTATAACAAAGATTGCTGTAAAAAAAATCTTCCTTGCCCTAATATAAGGTAGATGGAAATAAATAAACCATTCTGGCAGCAAATAAAACTGTCAAAATTACCAAAAATATGTTGCTAAATCCATGTTTACCGTGTTTTTACCTCCTTATCTATGACGTCTCAACCGCTCATCTATGACGTCACAAGCCTATGGCTGTATTACAAAAAGACAGAGGCAAAGGAAAAATTAAAGATTTTTTTTTTAAATGTAATAAACAGAAAATTCAATGTTTTGTAGTTGAATATGGAATTTATTTCACTCGTGAGACAGGATTTTTTGATTTTCACTCGTGCTTCGCACTCGTGAACATATCAAAAATCCTGTCCCACTCGTGAAATAAATTCCATATTCAACTACAAAACATTGAATATCCTCTATTTATTAAATACAACCGACTTATAGGCGGACCGACTTATAGGCGAGTATATACGGTAAGCCTCCTTTTGAGAGTTACAATCGGGACAGAAATATCTTGCAAAACTTGTGCCTGGTCTATATTTTTCTAAAGGAGAATCTTTGAAAGTCTGTATCTTACTCTAATGCCCTGTTCACACGACGAGTTTAATTTGCAGTAAATTAATGCGAAGTAAACTACTGCGAATCAAACTAATGCGAATTAAATTGCGTTCACACAACAGCTAATGCGAAGTAAACTAATGCGAATTAAAATTCTACTTCTACAGCAAGGCATCAGTAAGGCTATTATGACATCAATTGCAACATCACGTCACCTTATGCATGAGCACATGCATTTGACATAGTGTTACATTGTCTGTACACATATTTTAGTGATTAACACAATTTTCCTTAGTTTTTCACTCAAGAATAGCACAAATACTTCATGGCATTTGACCTAATTTTGCCATTATGCATGCCTCAAAATTTAATTCGAATTAGCTTCGCTTAGCGTTTACACGGAGCTAATGCGAAGTAATTTAATGCGCAGTAAACTAATTAGAATTAGACTAATTCGCATTAAATTCTCCGTGTGAACGCTAAGCGAAGCTAATTCGCAGTAACTTTACATTTAATTTGAATTAAACTCTCCATGTGAACAGGGCATAAAGTTACTTATGACCAAAGGGTGTGTAATTTTACAAAGTTACAAACTGGGACTTAAAAATGCAAAAACAGTCATTATTTTGCGAGTTCTATCACATACAGGACCTCCATCAAAATTTTAAAATATTCATTTATTCAATTGAAAAATCGATTTATTCAGTCAAGAAAAATCAAAATCCAAAAGGGTCATGGGGTAAATGATTTTTCTTGGCTGAATAAGTCATGTTTCCTGAACATTCATGCTATAAATTGTTTATCATATGGAAGCAAGCAAAGCTTTTGAAAATTAACAAAACTTTCAATTTCAGCATGCATACGCTCTTAAATTCACCTTCACTTTTTATGTAGAGTTTATACGGAAACATTTGACTGAAGTTCCTTAGACACTGATTACTAATTAATTTATTAAAAGCAGCTTAATTAAAAAGAAGACTGTCAATTTTAATTTATAATTGATTTAGAGATAAAACATTCAGCACTACAATTTGCTTTTTTTTTGGGGAGTTTCGTTGAACAAAGGATTTATTGCTGGAAAATGCATAAGGTTTCCAAAGAGGTTGAATAAGATGAAATAACGACAAGGCAATATGAAGTTGTATGGCCCTGTCATGTGACAATCTAGAACCAATCAGATAATGTTGTACAGAATAATCTTCATTATTTGAGGTAACAGTTCACATAAACAATGTTTTATTTCTTCAACATTTAATTTGGATTTCTATTCAGTTATCAACATAAGTCACATATCTCAACAGAATATAGAAGAAACTTGTAAACAGTAAATGTACAATGTATAAGAAGTTTTAAATTAAAAAGCCCACAAGAAAATTCACACAAAACTTTACCAATCAAAGTACTGCAGTAACTCATAACAACATTTCTGCCAATAAAAAAGGGCAAAAACATGTATATTATTTTTATCAAGTAAAAAATTCACAACATATACTTAATGAGCTATAAACCAATGTTCCTGTTCTTAAATTTTGCTAGTCAATACTTTGTCATCATAAAAATTTGAGCATGATTTACAATTCACATAATATGGAATACAGAACAAAGATTCAACTAAAATCTCACAGTATCATGAGATCTAACAATGAATTAATGTATGAGTTTATATTTGATATATGAATATTCTGTAAAAAGAACACTGTACACACAATGTATATACATGTATATAATATTGCATAAATGGAATAATTCAGCAAAGTTTGCCTGTAGAAGTGTTTTAAACAGTATCAGAATAAACCATGTATCTGTTAGCGATGGATTTCACAACCTCAATCTGAAATGGTTTCTGAAGACACATACTCTTTGTTCTGAGTACTCCTCCTTGGTCGGGCAGTTTTCCTCACATGGTCCGCACCTTTCACTGCTCTAGACTCACGCTTTGTTGCTTGTTTCATGTCAGCTTTGGTGGAAACCTTTGAATGTTTGTCACTTTCACCAGTGTCTATCTCGTCTTCATTCACATCATGACTTTCGTTCTCAAACTCGATACACATTCCGTTGTTTGTGATGTTTTTTATGACTCTCACTTGTGTGGCATTGTCTCCATTGATACTTTCCACCACACACACTTCTGTGGAGTTGTCACACTCTGCCATGGGTATACCTTCTTCTTCATTGTATCCTTCCTCGAAATTAGAGTTGGAATCTGAGCAAGCATTGGCAAAAACGAGTTGCACGGGTGAGGCATCATCCTCTCCCCGACTTCTCTTGGCCTCGGGCAAGGCTTCCTTGTTTGTCATATCCAGCAGCTGTGTGAAACACTCACTTTTACGCTTCAGTACTTCTTTCTTTTGCTCATACTCTTTGACCTTCTTCTGCAAATCTGCACATAGAAAATTTAAAATATATGCAGAGTTAAAATGCTCAGAATATATTACTTCTTATTGGTCATACATAATACTTCTTATACATGCCGTATCTCTCATTATTGTTTGTTTTGCCTCTAGTGAGAATGATTGTCAATGGGTAATGGACGTCTGCCTCTTGCTATATTTCTGTTGACTACAGGTAACACAATTTAGATGGCCATAAGACAGATTAAAACAATAATATGTCATCTGTATTCTGAAAAATTCATGCTAAGGTAAAGCTTAAAAATTCTCTGTTTGCAGTTGCCGACTTATAATGAAAGTGGGTAGGTCAGTGAGAATGGTTTTCTGTTTTGAAAAATGTAGCATTCTGATTTTTGTTAAATAACAATTAAATAACTAAAATTAGGTTCCATACATAAATATGCTTCACTTGTTAAAACCAATTAATTGAAATAAAAAATCAAAAATAGAAAATGGAAGTTTCAATATTTAGGAAACCTGGAACTTATATATAAAGTAAAAAAACAAAAAAATAGCTGAAAAAAAGTTTGAGTCAGATGCAATTTCAGTGGGTCAGTAGGAAACTGCAAACATTTTTTTTTTAATATGAATTTAAAATATTCAAGTCATTATCTACTTGGCAATGCTGCATTTAAATTTAGAGTAGCCTCCCTTCTCACTGATGTATTCAGTATACAATAAGATAAGTACAGAATATTTTGCACAGTCAACATATTCAATACAAATTGTAATGGTCCTCCATAAAAAAAGCACTTATTTGGTTTTTAGTTCACCACCTACAGAAATTTGTTAGATTGTAAAAGTCCACAGAGGGATAGAGTCAGAATCACCTTCTACAGACTTTAACAATTCATAAACATCTGTAGACAGTCAATAAGAAACCTAGAGTGTATTCGAAACCTTTGTTCTTGATCCGAGAACGCGTTCGTAATTAAATTCTCAGTTCTCGAACGCCAAGAACACAACTCAGGAACGGGTTCGCGATTCAAGAATATACACCACCACGCTAGGTAGTGTGAAACAAGAACAAGATGGCGGGAAAAGGTAGTCGGTGAGTGAAAAAAGAATTGTTGAGGGTAATATTTGGAATTTTAAGCCAAAAATGTTATTTTTATTGAAAGCAGATTTTAATTAAAAATAAAATAATTGACATCCTTTATAATTCATTCTAAAAGTAATTGGTGCGGACACAAAACAACTGCTTATCAAAGTCTCTCCACACACAAGGGGGTATGTACAGGCCCACAGTTACATGTGACCGAATGCGATTCCTTGTTCGCTCTTGAGTGGTTTCACACTTGTTGTGTGACTAGTGTGACTAATGACGAGCAGCTTAATTAATAAAAAAATTAAGATGAAAAGTCGCCCCTGTGTGTGTGTGAGGGTGGGTGATTATTATTATTTTTTTTACAATGGCTACATGTAGAGCCCCGTATTCATCAATAGCACAGTACCCTGATAAAGATATATACTAGTAGCTCGATATCAAGTTATTTGTAATACCTTGATAAATCTATGTAGCTTTATCAAGCTATACTTCATCAGGGTATTGTTGTGGACCTGTAAAACAAAAAAAATATAGGGATGAAATATCAAATTTATTTATGTAGGCCCTACTTTTTATTTAGATAAATGAATGGATATATTGCATTCAATTTCATGATGGATTAATTTTGAATTTGTAAAGAATTTCACTCAATATCAGATATAAAATGTAATTTAAATCTAATTACCACTGTGTGTAAAATAAATCACTTAATTGAAGAACATGTATATAAAATGCATGGTTACTGTCTTGAAATATAAGCGATATTTGGGCGAGGGTAAGAAAATGTGATAGAGGGCGAGGCTTGCCGAGCCCTCTTACATTTTCGACCCGAGCCCAAATATAGCTTATATTCCAAGACAGTTATCATGTATTTTGTTTATCCTGCAACAAAATTTTACATTTGAGCATCAAAACAAGCTAATTCCGACAGATTTAGGCACATCTCTGCAGTTAAAACTATGACGCCATGGCGTAAACATTGCAGTAAACGTGACGTCACAGTGCTTTTTGAACGTCGGAATACATGCATGAGGCTTTATTAGGGCTGTGACCGGATAAAGCTTTGGTTTATTAGGTTACCTTTATTAGGTCAATGCAAGGGGTAGTTGCAGGATAAATATACATAACCTGTAGTTAAACGGGGCGAAACCACTCGGCACAATACCACTCGGTGCGAACAAGTAATCGGGATGAACCCACCGGTTAACATGTGACCCAAAGAAAGAAAATGCATCTTTTGCTTAAAATTGTTCAAAATCAGCAATGTTTCAAGACACACACACTGAGGCATTGTCACATAAAACTTTTGTCATACCGGGGTATATATTATAGTGTATTCCCTTATTTTGATTAATAAGACTATGAATCATCTTTTTAAAATTTCAGTACAAAAAAAGCTATGGATCAGGAGGAGGAGATTTTTACCATAAGTTTATTAGACACAACAGACCAATTGGAGTATGAATGTGATGTAACAAAGGAAGTTTTCCTGCTTCTTCAGACAGGTATCTGCAATATCGAAAGAGGAATTAAAAATGCATTTTTGTTACACTGTTTTGTAACTTAGAATACTTAAAGGGGAATATTCAATACACACACACAAAAACACTCTTGGATTCTCTATTTTATAGATGCACAAGCAAGAGAGGAATTCCTCCAGAGTATGAAAGCAGATGGGCTAAAACCAGGTAGTTTTACAGTATTTTCATTTGTTGATCCAATCTCAGATATGTATTTTTTGTTTATTTTTAAAAGAAATATTATTTAATTAGTTACATATAATTGCTAAACATTTTTTAAAAAGTGCTTTTGATGTTAATTTTTCAGTCGACAAGTCCAAACAAGCTCTGGATGAAAAACATGCTGAAGGTATTAAAAGTAATCAAGATGTTGTAATACCCATGAAGCTCGACACAGACTACCTATTATTTTGCTATGCATTCCTTTATAATGTAATGAATTAATTGCTAAACATTTTTTAAAAAGTGCTTTTGATGTTAATTTTTCAGTTGACAAGTCCAAACAAGCTCTGGATGAAAAACATGTTGAAGGTATTAAAAGTGGTCAAGATGTTGTAATACCTATGAAGCTCGACACAGACTACCTATTATTTTGCTATGCATTAATTCCTTTATAATATAATGACATGAATAACTTAAAAAAACACACACCAGCCAAACTTACCTGAAACTTGGCACAGAGTAAGACCATTTCAAGTCCAAATATTTTTCATACTCTCAGGATAATTAGTCTGCAAGTCCTTGAATGGCATCATAAATACAATGTAACACTTACCATCCTTTTTTCACTTTCTCTTCGTGGAAAGGGTAAATATGGGCCTCTTTACACCCTTCCTGCTACACGCTTAAATGGGAAATTTCCCATTGTTATCAATTTTATAATTTTTTTTACAAACCCTCTCCTTTCCATTCATGCCCAAAAATAAACCAATTCCACTCCATAAACACCCCAAAGAATTTTTAAAAGAAACCTTTTTTAAACTGGAACTACTTGTGTTAACAATGAAATAGGGGTAAAATTGATAGTCTGTATTCAGCTGCATATATAACCTATTTTTGAACTTATTAGTCTTAAATAAATACATGTAAGAAGTTTTTCCTTGTACTTATTCAAGATTCGTGAGCATATTCAAATTTATTTCATTTAGAGAACGAGCAATTACCAAAAACCTGGGCAAGAAAAGAAACGGATATGCTGGTCGCTCTCCGTATGGAGAAAGATGAGGAGTTCAGGAAAAGCAAAGTACATCAGAGAATATGGAACAATATTGCAGCAGAAATGACCCAGAAAGGCTATAAAGTGAATGGTCAAAAAGCGGCAAATAAATGGAAGTCTTTAAAAAGATCATATATGGAGGTGATTGACCACAATTCCAAAAGTGGGAATGATGCAAAGACTGTGCCATATATGACCGATTTCAATATGTTATATGGAAACAAACCATCAACCAAGCCAGCTTACACTCTGCATTCATCTGGATCCGGATCAGCAACCAGTTCTTCTGAAACAAAACTTAAAAAACGAGCAATATCTCCTAGCGGAAGCAGCTCCGAATCAGACACTCCAGTGAAAATGGTGAAGAAAATACCAGGTCGACAAATAAAGAAGAAGAATACAGTTTTGGACTTCCTGCAGAATTATGCAGAAAAACAGTCGGAGCAGATGAAGCAATTTACAGGATTTTCTCAAAGAGCAACAAGCTGCGAAGCTGTCACGTTTGGACAGATTGTTAGACATCCTTGATAAGAAGGGAGAAAAGAAGTGAATTTGTTAACTTTGTTAACGTTACTGTTTATGAAGATGTTTTATTTGTGCCATTTTTTTTGAAATAATAACTGAGAAATTTTATCACAGACTTGTAATCTTGGATCTTGAGATTTTTTTGTTTAACTAGTCAAGTTTATTATATTTTGTTTGTTTGTGCTTTTTACGGTGCAGTTTGTTGGTGATTCTATTAATTACCAAGTTTTTATTGATCTATGAAGATTTTTTGTTGTGATATGGAGAGATCAAGAAATGATCAGTATTTTTGTAAACTGTTTATTATTTTTTTTTCAAATAAAGTATTCATTTCACATATAATTACAAAAGTGGTTGTCATCATCTAATCTTTATTTAATTAGAACATATTCACAAGTCTTTGTCTGGTAGCTAGTCCATTATCTGCATTTTGAAATATGTTCTGGAAATTGTTAATGTCCTCCTCATACTCGATGAATGATGGAATATCATCATCAGCAAGAATGCATAGGTTGTGCAAGACACTGACAGTCATAATGATGTTGCATATTTTTTCTACATCTGTGCAGTATATTTCACGAAGACGCCGAAATCGACCTTTTAAATGTCCTATAGCTCTTTCAACTGTTTGTCGCACTGAAGATAAAGATTTATTAAATCGTTTTTGTTGAGGAGATAAACATGATAAATGACCATTATCTCTTATGGGTGTTTGCAGCCACCCTCTTACAGGATAAGCACCGTCACCAAGTATGAAGGTATTCTGAGAAAATTTGTTATCATTTTCTGCTTCTTGATATAGAGGTGAATTTTTTAACACTCTGGCATCATGGGTTGAACCAGGCCAGCCTACATAGGCGTCAGTTATTAACATGTTATCATCCACGACTAACTGGAGCTGCACAGAAGGGTAACCTTTACGGTTTATATAGTCTCTTTCGCCCCCGGGTGGATTAACAAGTCGGATGTGCGTTCCATCAATAATACCAACAACACCTGGCAATCCGCTTCTGTTCTGAAACTCTTGAGAGATGTCATTTAAACGCTCTTGTGTTGGCCATCGTATGAATTTTGAAGCATTAGTTGCAATCAATTCCGCAACCGAATGAATACACTCATGTGCAGTGCTTGTGGACACACTAAATAAATTTGAGGTTTCTCTGATGCTTTCCAGGTTGCTTAGATGCCACAGGCAAATAAGTAATTGCTTTTCAGGTGAAATTTGAAACAAACCTCCTTTCTTTCTTTGTAAATTTTCACTGAATCGGTTTTTCAATATGTTAAACACAGTTCTATTTATCCTGAAATGTCGGCGAAAATCGTTGTTGGAGAAGGAGGGGACTATGTTTTCGGCAAAGTTTTCAACTTTCGGGGCATTGAGTCTTCTGTACAGTGGAGAAAACATTACTACAGGGTCAAAAATATGATGAAATAATTGTTCATTAGCGTCATCTTCCTCAATGAGCATATCAAATAGGTTGTAGTATAAAAGCACTTCATTCTGATGCGCCATTTTTCCACGTGTTCTTGGCGTTCGAGTATCTGTGTATGAACATGTTCGTACGCACATATTCTCGGCGTTCGTGAATGTACGAACAGTACTCAAGAACAACAAGAACGACGGTTTCGAATGCACTCCACATGTCATGTTCTATCTGCTTTAATTTACATTTCTGACAAACTGCTAAGCATATTATCAACAAACTTTATATCTTCATGCAGTCAGCAACAGGGATTCAACATGTATAAAACTATCATGGAACTGTTGATCATTTATGTGAATGAAAAATAACACCAGAACTAATTTCATCATATTTTGTGATCAACCTTACAGAAAGATGAGCTCCCCTATACTAAACTTCATGAAAAAAGAGATATTACCTTCCATTTCCCTATCTAGTCGAATTCTTTGTTTTTCCATGTCAATCTGGTGAGCTTCTAGTTTGTACTTCATTTTTGACATCAATCCCAGCTGTTTAACAATCACTGAAATCACTCTGGTATCTGTAAATAGAATTCAAAAATTTAAAGTTACTTTCAGATGATATATATCAAACTGACTTAAGTATTCATCATATACAAGTATGTTTTTGTGTGTAGAGCAGTTTTAGAGGAGATATCAATTGAGAATGATCAGTATACTGCATGCATAAGCGTGACGATGGATAAATATTTCTGCAGAAATCTCCTACCTTCTAGGGGAACCATCCTTCGGACCATTCTGTTTTTAAGGACATCCAAAGATGCCTTAATTTCCCGAAAAAATTCATCAACTAATCCCAGCTCCACAATACCTTTCCAAAGTGTCCTATCCTCTGTATGTAGAATAAAGATTAGTTAATGAGTAAGATAATTAAATCATCTATATCTAAAACAACACACTGCCAGACTTTTTACCATTGAGGCTTTTTATGTTTTGATACTTTCCCAACCATAACACAATTTTCCCCAAAATTTTTTCCAAAAATTCTGTAAAAATTTAAGACATTTGAAATCATTACTTTCATGATTCATTGATGAAATTTCTTACTTAATTCATAAATTAAGAAAGTATGAAAATGGGATAAACATATAAATCTTCATAAACCAAAAATTATACTCATTATATCAGAAAAGGAAACCATTTGCAAACATCAGAAACTTGTAATGAATAAACAAATATATAAAAAAAACATTTAAAAACGAACTTTAACTTAAATATTACCTATTTGTTCACCATCTGCAATTAATCTGCATTGAATTATTTTACATACTGGTAGAGCTTCTTTAAAGTAGTTTACAATATTAGACATCTGGATTACAGTTGGTATTTACCCTCGTCAGTGGTCTCCCCCTGGATGTCTGGATACGTGACTGGAGTCTTGAGTGAGGACTGGATCTTCTTCTGAGCCTGGCTCATGTTCTCTAACATCTGGAGCTGGAGTTGTGCCAGGTCCGGTTTGATGTCCTCCGGCTCCTCAGTGATTTCCTCATCCCAGGGCACCCTCTCACCACTGGTCACACTCTGTAATATATCACATGTACATTATAGTAGGTCATCACATGTACAAGTACATCACTATACTTGTAAGTCATCACACATACATAAGTGAAGGTCATCCTTTAAGATTTAATTGACATCTTAAATTTTAACTTTTAAAGAATTATACTTAATTTTGGGAAAATATGTTCATATGGTGAATATGCGGATAAATGACTCAATTTAGCAAAAAATTTCAACTTTTTAAAGGTGGGAAGATTCAGGGTACAGAATCAGCACCTCCAAGAAATATATTATGGTTCTATGTTTTGAAAATTATGGTACTTCTTTTTGATCATTGAACTTTCCAATGGTAACAAACCTGTATTTTCATGGTTCCGTTTTCAGCTGTTGTCGTGAGCAGGGTTACTGGGCTTTGGTAACTGGTGGGTTGAGGGATGTTGTACACTACAGAATCGGGTCGTGTGGCCGTCCTGGCCTGACATCTCCCAGTACACATCTTCTCATGATTCCAAAACGTCAACTGTCCTGCATCTATATGTTTCCTGGTAAACATATTCTTATTGTAAAATCCTTCAACAAATATGGTATTTAGCAATTAATTTACATTCTTTTTTTAATACTCCATGAATAAACCAAAAAATTGTACATATTTTCTCTCAGTAGTCTTAGGAGTTAAAATTCCAGATCACGGGTATTTACCATTGCAAGGCATTGTATAGGCATCTAGTAATTTGTTATAATCTTACCTGACTTGGATGCCATTGATCCTGACTGCATTCTTCCAGTCCTTCAATCTGGCTTTTTCTCCCATGTACATGAACTTTTTGGGGGTGACGAATGTCTGATCCTCTAGCTCTATACATTCTCTGTGTATCCCTGGGCAGGTAAATAGTTCTCTGTGGAGCCTACCTCTCAGATTCCCACAGGACACATCAAGTATCTTCTCATCTGATAATTTCTTTGAATGAAGAAAAAAAATAACGATTTTTTTTTAAACCAGAAATTGCAATATATTTCAATCAATACATAAATTTACATGTAGACTTTGCATTACTTATTTCCCTTTGAAGTCAACTAAAGGCAAGTTGGGAGGCATACTTTCTTGACTGTACTAATTCCTTTTTCCGGAGTTCTTGAAAAGTGTCAGTATTCAGTAATATAGCATTTTCCAAATCATAAGTGTACATTCACAGTTAATTACTTATCAATCCAACCTTAAGTCTGTATTTTGGTAGCATTAGATAGAAAAAAAAAGCAATACGCAAGTTTCCAGATTATAACTCATCTACGACAGAGGTCCAAAAAGTATGCATATCAGCATGGATGTGGGACAGGTTGTTAGTGTATACAAATATGTATAAATAAATGGAAGATTTTATGGTTTTTAAAATTCACTTAATATTATACATGTTATAAAAAGATAATGTTTATGGTTTTTAAAATTCATTTAATATTATAAAAAGATAATAATGTTAAGCAATGATGCATTTCATTATTTTATCAAGCTCAACTATGCATATTTTTCAAATTGACTTTCAATTAGGATACTAGTACCTGAAAACGAAAGAATCATCATAGTCTTTATATAAAGTAAAAATTTCCTTGAATGTATTAACCTTTTCTAAAAAGTTAGTGGGATCTTTGAAGTTATAATAAGGGAGAAAGAATCAGTGTGTCATTTAGAATGCCAGCGTACAATGATCAGATGCATGTGTACCATATTTATTAGAGGAGAGGTCCATATCTCTTCCCGCGTCTGAAAAGTCTTACAACCACTGATATTTTTTCTTTTTTCCTATTTTTTAATTTTAAAAATGACACCTTTAATTAATTTCTGTTATTCTTGAGTTGAAGAGTGCATCCTTACAATCCAGTAGTTACGAAAGAGCACAACGGAGATAATCTCAAAACTTGCATATTGAACTATAAATGACAACTTACTAAGTTCAGAATGTGGGAAAATAGTGAAAATGGGATATCAAATTTATTATGCATTCTTTTATAGGAACACTTCTAGTATACCGGTCCCCATAAATATGGCGCTAAAATAGGTGCCGCCGAAGGCGGTGTACAATATATAGACGATCGCGTGAGCGATCGACAAAATCGAAAAAGAAGCCACAAATTGCAAATTTGACCCCAAATTCGTGTTCCTTGTGAAAAATTGGGTTTAAAAAAACTGGTTTTTAAACACAGTTTTTTAAATGAGAATTAAGAGATTTCGTAAAATAACGTACTTGTTTAGAAAGTAAAACTCCATCTTGCGTTGTTTAGGAATGTGGTCACATGATCATTTTTTGACGTAATCTCATAAATATTCATGATATGCGTCACTTGTGTTTTGACGTAATAAAGAAATGCCTGATAGGACTCAACTGTCTCAAAGTGCAATGTTATTAAAATTGCGAGATTTTTGTGAGAAATATATGGATTTAACAAATGTTAGCTAATTACTAGTCATTGATGGATCGAATTGTGCATCATCATCGATATGATAGGGAAAATATTCTGAATTTGGACATTAGGAGGTCAGGATATCGAGATGCAGTAAACGGTAAGTCACTTTTACTTGCCTAAACTTAGCACTCAAAGGTGGTCATGTATGGACATTAGACCTAGATTGATTCATCCGAATTTTCGTTCATAAAAAAATTCCTGTTCTTTGTATGCAAAAATTTCATGAACTAGGCCTAACCCAAAGGCAAAGTGATGGAGACCGATGTAGGCCTATATCGGCACGATTTGACATTAGGCTGATTCAAGTAAGTTTTTGGTCACAAAAGGCAAAAATTACTGTAGACGTACTTTTTTCCAAGGGGTCATAATTCCGCGGAATCTCAATTTCTGTTTAATCCGCGGGTAGATTATTACGCGGATTTTCTAGACTGTCACTATATGGCTTTCATTTATATTAAGTACGCTTGGACAAATTTCCGCGGAATATTTGCGACCGCGTACATAGCGTAAATTAATACCACGCGGATAAAAGTACTTCTACAGTATATAAATTACCCCAAAGTCAGAAAGATTTCAGAGTAAATTTATAAAACAACCCCAATTTTAAAAACTATATAACCCTAATCACTCGATCTGGATGCGTCTTATTGAAGTGAGTGGGAAATTGCGGTTTGTTTACATTCTGCATAGCAACGGCAAGGGAAATAACTGCTCATGCGCAATCGCGTGTTTCTGGGAACCGGCATACTAGAAACTTCCCCTTTTATATAATACTCCCAGAGACTATATCAACAAAGTTAAGAACATGATGAAATAGTTTACCGGTAACATCTTTGGTTCTCTTTTTGGAGACATAACACTTTTAAAGGTTACAGTTTCCATTTCTGCCTTTGCCTCAATATCTATCCTGAAATAAGTGCTATTAATTGAAAAGAAAAAAAAATAAACAAGTATTGTACATGTGCTGAGACTAGATGTGTTTGATATATTTCCAACATTGAAATGTTATTTAATATAAGTGTTATATTTACTGACAATTCACATGGACCAAAATTTTTAATGTTTACAGCTGAATGAATATTCATAGAGTTTGTAAAAAGAATGACGTAACGCATAAAACTAAAATAGGCCCCTAAATTAAGTTCAATTATTTTTTCTTAGGTTTATTAAACCTATAAATCTCTTTACAAATTACGTTCGTTTAAAATTCCGAGAATTTAATAATCATTGCCTCAGTATCGATTTACTTCCTGTTGATATTTACAAATCCCGGACTCTATACTGGGACATTTAACCGTCGATATAAGCAGAACGAATGACTACGTTATTCATACATACACGTATACTTCTGTTCCAGAGCTTCTAGTTGTAAAATCTCTTAAAACGTCGCCAAAAAAATGTAAATTCTTTGTCTAAAATGGACGTCCAAACATGTCGTGATTTGCACGCTCTTCGGTGTGACGTTACCCTACGTTACTTGGCATAACACGTAATCACGTGAGAGCCTACGCGAGAGGTCACGAGAGTAACTAGTGGGGGAACAACGGAAGTGCTGAGATGATGTAAACAAATCAAATAAACGTGGATAATAGTTAATGCAGAGTAATCAAGAAAATATTTGTTTCTTTGAAAATGAAAAACACCTGTGCATAGATCAACAATTGATTTTCTTCACAGCGTTTTGTTCGTACGTATATTTAGCTCGAAATATCTCTGTGTTTGTCCACGCCCACAAAACAGTACAGGATAGATTTTTAAAAATGAAAATGAACTGGTAGAATTTATGTTGCCTTAGCATAACGAAAAACATGAACTGATATTTCAGATACAAGACTCAAAAAAGAAGTTATTCGAGTATTCACAAAATGGCTGCAGAGTCTACACTGAGTCCACCAGCTCCATTAGATCTTGGGAGGATGGAAATGGAGGCAAAAGAAACTGCCAAAAAACACATAGCTAATTTGTTGCAGGTAAACTTGATAAACTCAATGCTTCAGATGATTGAAAAGAAATCATGCAAGATCAAATCACTAAACATGTTAAACTGGTTATCTTTAAATGAATAAAAAATTATAAACAAATTGACAATGCATTCAGTCTGTCTTTGTCCTTTTAAGATCAGCTACAGCACACAAAGAGTGATATTTTGTCTGCTTACAGGTGAATTTGATATTTAAAAACCATGTATTTATTGAAGCAATTTCAAAGATTTTTCTTCGTCCTATTAAGTTTGAGATTACAGGATGTGCATCATCAGGCTCCAAAGTCAGAAAACTTAGATGAGCCCACTTTCAATCTCAGTCTCACTTTTTTCATGATACATTCTTTTTGTAAGTTTAAATTAGGACTAAAATAAAAAAAGAGTTCATCTTGATTTTAAGGCCATGGAGCCAGGGATTCATTCTGATCATAAATAACCACTACCATCAGCTAGCAAAGCAAATATTTTCTTAAGTTTTATCAAGATAAGTTTTTGTTTTAGGTCTTTATCTCATATGTTTTTTCTGCAGATTTTTTAAGTAGTCAGGCAAAGATTTGGACTTGCAGAAAGTTTAGCAAACAATGCATTAATAAAATCTTGTTTACACTTATATGAAATTCTTCTGAAGTAAATAATGCATATGTTCAGGATGTTTGACAAGCTCATTTGTTTTTTAAATATCTGACAGCGACCAGAGCAGTTGGAGAGGGTGGACCAGTACAAGAGAAGAATTTCTCGAAAAAAGGTACACGCATCATATTAGTAAAGAATTCATAAAATGTACCAGTGGTTAATTTCTGGTTCTTTAAACTTAATTTATGTGTATAGATAGCATTTGGATAAAAAAGGTCAAGAAAGTAATATTCACTGTTTATATGCTTACTGGAGTATTTTAAATACTAATGTATCATGTTCCTTAATATTCCATCATATTTTGATAAGAGTTACCTCCCTTTAAATGCATTTGTTTTCATACCAGACTGAAATCTGTATTACATAAAAAAAAACATTGTGTGCATGTTTAAAAACAAAGAAATATTGAATTACAATAAATCTTATGTACCCTGGTATTTCAGGCATCTGTGGACACGATGTTGAAGACTGCTGTACAGTCCCAGCTGGATGGAGTCAGAACTGGACTAAATCAGCTACAGAGTGCGCTCCAGGATGTTTACGAGATAAAACAGAGGTGAAATAGCTCAGGTCTTTTGATCAGGACTCAAATATATCTGTAATTTTTATTTGTGATTGAGAAAGTATCATTACAGTATCATGCTGTGTCATAATGTGTTTTGCGTGAAAATGATGATGTAAATTGTGTGCGTGGATTCTTTACCTGGTATATAAAAAAAGAGTAAAACATTGAATTTTAGGATAAACATGTGATAAAAAAATCTCCTATTGCTCAGGATAAATAACAAACAACTTGTTGGATAAAATGATATCCAACCACAAATCATTGGAGGTCTTGATATATATGTGATTAGGAGTTGTACCTTTATATTTATCATTGTATACCCCTTTTATAATACTTTGCCTTATATGTGTTTTATAACAGACTTGATGAAGTAGAAGAGGCTTACAAATCCATCTCTCCTCTCCATACAAAACTGATGGATCTCAAGAAGGAAAACACCAGATACTGCCAGGTCTGTCAAACTTAGACTGGATTAATAACAGTGTACACATTATTGTTAAACATAATGTTTATACTGTAAACCAACTATTATTTGCGACATCTTTTACGTGTATTTGCGATTCATAATTTAATTAGCAAACAATTCATGACTTAGGAAAAATTCTCTACCAATGCAAAGCAAAATAAATGGTTTGTGGCGATTAAAATTCGTGAGTTAAAGTAGATCACGAAACTAGTGGAGATTTCTCACATGCCAATAAAAGTTGGTTTATACTGAAACTATTTCCAAGCATCTGAACCCCTGTAAAAAGTGATGACAGTCTTCATGAATTATGCATTCTTATTTTGATGAATGAATCACAGCAGAGGATGCCGACTATTAAAACAACAGGGATAAATATTTAAAATTTTTTTTTGAAATTTGGAATTCATTACAGCTTGCATCTGCCATGGAGAACCTGAAGCACATATTTACTGCACCAGAAATTGTTAGAAAGACGGAAGAGCTCATCAACGAAGGAAAACTACTTCAGGCCCACAAACAGTGAGTCTGACACTAAACCAAGAGGGAGTTGGTTTATACTTATTCAGCATGTTTATAATTTACAGTCTCTCATCAACATTTCTGTTCTTTATCTCAAATATAACATATAATCTGATTTCCTTGACTGTTTTTCAAACAAAATATGGATTTCAAGGGATGCAACTCTTTTAATGAACAGCATAATTTATTTCTTTAATGACAAGTTAAATGATGTATTAAATATCCTCAGAATTGCATCATCATTAGGTCTAAAGTGTTATCTTTGCAGCTTGACAGACTTGGAGCAGTCTAGAGATGACCTTATGTTTGAATTATACAAACAGCCCCAGCAAAGCCCCACAGACAATAATGTAAGTGTGTGATTTAGAAGTACAGTATTTACATTTGCTGTGTTTTTCCACTTGCAATTGCCCAACTGTGAAATTGATTTGAATACCTTTCTTTTATACTCATGTGTAGAAATAATCACAAAGAAACTTGGGCTAAGGTAGTGTCAAAATGATGCTACAGAGACCTTAATAAAACTGCAACGGTATAGGGCAGCAAGAAATTCAAATTTTGAGTATATTTTTGGTGCTCTTAAAAATGTAAAATGTAAATATAAGGCATGTTTTTAAGTTAAGTGTGAATTATTTGAGTGTTAATCACACAGACTTGCACAGCACACTTCATGAAATATGCCTATGTTAGCCCTAGCACTCTTCATGAAATATGCCTACATGACAAGTCTGTGTGATTTACACACCAATAACTCACACAAAACTTAAAAACATTCTTTGAATAATAATACAGACACACACACACACACCCTCTCTCTCACACACACACACACACCCTCACACACACACACACACAAACCCTACAGCCAAAAGTGTTTTATTTTGAATACAATAACTTAGGGATGTCTTTTACAAATACATGTAATAGACAAACAATGTCTTTATAAAAATCACACAGGTTGTGATACAAACACTGGTACTGATCTAAACATATTGTATAGCCACCAGAGAGCCCTTTAGACAATGAGGATGATGTAAGTGATTTTTCCATTAACTAGGTTAACATTCCACCAATTATTTGCTTTTGCTGCTAATTAAAAATTCCTCTAAGCACACACACTTTTTGTTCTAAGGAGTATATATGATAAGAGCTAATTTTGGCCCCCTAAAAATCAACATTTAAGAATGACATTCAGATATGTTTAATTGATATTTATTTTGAAGAAGAGATTATATTAGAAATATTTCTAATATATTTTTCATATTTATATGCACTCTCTAGCTGTAATTGACATGAGAAATAATTCTATTTTTGCTATCTAACAAAAAAGCCAAAAATATGCCTTTTTCTTGATGTTTTTTCTTATGGGAAACATAGAGCGCAGAGTAGAACATACATTATTTTTCTGTCACTAATCAGTATTAGATAGATACATCTTTGGTAAAAATATAAAGCTTGTTCAAGGCTGTGCTCTATATTTTCTGGAAGAAATACTGCTTGAAAATTAGCAGTTTTATACAAAATATGCTAAAATGGCGGGAGAACGTGATTTTTATGATGTCATATTTCTAAAATAATGGCATATTGATCAAAATGAAAATGACCAATTAAATATATAGCTGTATAAATTAAAGCTATATATAAAGTAAAATTAAGATACTCATTTTAAGGGGCCAATTTAGACACTTACCATATATCGCTCTTTGGCCCTGGTTTAATTTACAAGAGCCCCATAGTAGTCAATCTGTTTGTCAGTAGTATGTCTGTCCACAAATTTCCTGATTTATTGTAAAAAGTTAAAATTTAGTACCTGGATTTGATTTCACCATTCATTGATAATTAAGACATAATTGACAGCTTGGCTGAAATTTGTAGATAACAACTGGGTAACAGGGTAGATTTTTAAATGGAAATATTTCTTGAAGTCTGTACAGAAGTCTGTCTGTTAGCCTCTGTTTGTTTTATCCATGGATATGATTTTGTCAAGAAAAATTCTTAGAAACTGAAGCATGGATTTGTCTATATATTTCTGTACACTTGATTCACAAAGTAAAGAAGCTTAACTGAAATTTTGACCAATACTAATTTGGACTGAAGATGCCAAAATTAATGAGATATGATACTTTAATTACATATATTTGTATTTCAACAATTTGTAAAGTATGGTACCTCATTAAAGGACAGGTGGTTGCTATTAAGTTTTACAATCTATTTTCAAAAATTGAAACAATACAATGAATGGTATTTTAATGTTTTACTGGGCCATGGCATAGTTCATCATTCTGAAAATATATACAAGCAATTAAATTTTGACTGTAAATGTTCACACTTCAACACACTTAAGATATATTAAATACTTCCAGAGACATACCTTTTCTTAAAAAAAATCCCAGTCTGGGGTAGGGGGTATTTATTCATTCTGGATAGGTCTAGTTGAGTTTTTACCGGTACATATTCTGATGTGTATACCCCTCAGGTGGACATTTGCTTCTGGTCAGCTCTCTATCTCTTTCTCTTTTCTGTGCTAAGCTTTTATTTCTTTAAGATTTTTTTTTTAGCAAGAAGATGTTTAATACTAAGTCTTGCACAATATAATGCTTATCATACCTGATTTGAGGTATATTAAAACTGGTCTTTCAGAAACAGTACTGTAGCTTTTTATATTCACTTTTTTGGCAGACTTTGGAGAAGTATTTCCGAGATGTTATAAGCTTGTCGGATCAGCTTGGTAAACAGCTGTGGGTGATTATACAGAGGACGTTAATGTCGGTCAGAAGGGAGCCAACTCTCATTGTTACGGCCCTCAGGATCATCGAGCGGGAGGAGAGGTAAGGCTGCTATAATATCTAAAACATATCAGGCCCTAAGACCAAAACTTGAGAATAGATGGAAGCCAAAATTTAGATTTTCAATTTCTTGGTTTTAATTAAACAATCATATTTAAAAAAATTACAAGTATGTGAAATATTTGAATACAAACACTTACTGTAAATTTGGCTTAATTTTCTTGAATATTTCAAAAATGATACAAATTTGAAATTTTGATCCAGTCTGTTCTCAGTTTATGGTCTTCAGGCAAGAGCACTCAAAGCTAGCCAGAGGTCACAGACCCTGTGAAAGCCAGCAGAATTAAAGGCTTCAGTGTGTACCATTGATGCAGTCATCCAGTGCCCTTGTTTGTATTTGTTATAAAACTACGGGGTGTTCTTTTCACTGATCAAATGTGATAATTTTTAGAGCTGTCCAAGAGGCTTGAAAATACTGGAATTTTGGTGAAAATATTGAAACCGCTCACCAAAAAATGTACAAAATTTCGATCAAAAATCAGTATAATAGGTCATTTTATCTCTTAATTTCAAATCAAGAACTGTAAATGTAGTATTAATTAATTACTACGAGTAACTTTTAGATCTTTAAGAACTTGTGCAATCCACATGCTTGGTCATTGTTGAGTTTTGTAAAAAGACTTCCCCAAGTGCAGTAGAGCGTAGCATGCAAAAGAGTGTCTCCAATCAGCTGTAGTCCATGATTATAATGGAAAAACCAAGACAATCATGATGTGTCAAAATGTTAGAAAAATAAATCATTTATTGAGATGAAAACTTGTATAGCATCAACATAACAATTACAGAGAATATAATACCGATTTCCATCCCACAGCTTATCATAGCACTGGATATTTCATTTCTACTCTTCCTCAAATGTACACATACAATGTCAATGTATATTCCCCCTGCTGAAATACTCTACCACAGTTTTAGTGACAAACATGTATTCAACACTACAGACACACCCTACTGTTGATTTAGTTTCATTACACACAACTGGTACACTCTACTTAATGTTTAAATATTACTGTGCACCACAGACACACCATACTAATATTTTAATTATTGTACAGGATAGATTATGATGTACAACAGTTAAAAGTTATTTTGCCTTACACCCACACACACTATACTGTTGATTTATTGTCACAAGTATCACAAGTGATACGCTGTACTACTGTAACAGTTAAATGTTACCGAGCCTTACACACACACCCCACTGATACTCTCTTATTGACTAGTCTCCACCGATTCTGTCCAGGAACTAGCAATACTGTATCATCCATGTTGTCCAATCGGTTAGACAGTACCTTAACCATGTAATGCTGGGGTACACAGGAGAAATGTCCATACCAGCACTGGCCAGTGGTGCAGCGGTACTCCTTAATGAACTGAGGATAGTGGCCAGAACCCAGGTTTCTCCAGTGGAGAACTGTTTGACAGGTCCATTGTCTCACGTATTCACTGACTTCTCCATGCATTGTGGGATTTCTGCTTTTCTTTGATAGTAAGAAATTAGAAGTAAGGTTGGAATACTGCTGTAGCAATTCTGTCGGTGAGGTATCACCTGTAAATAGTGGCAGAACAGTTCCCAAAACTGCACTCATAACTGTGATTGCTTGCTGGAATGAAGAAGAATGGACTCAGTATAGTGTAGTTGCAACCAGGCTCTGGGCCATAAAACTTTGACAAGCCCACTTTTGATCTCAGTCTTACTTTTCCATTCATTCCTTAAGTAGATCTGAGATTGTGTAAGTTTTATGGTCCCAGAGCCAAAAATATTGATGTCTTGAAACTATGTACCTTCTAAATCTTGTTGAGGCACCCTCGCTCATCACAATAAATATGTATATGAACATGGTTCGACTTAGATGCTTAGTGTAGAGAATAGGCATTTTAATAAATTGATTGCATTCTTGATGCATTTTTTTATTGAAGAAAATATAATGAGAATGCCAGAACCTGACCCTAGGGCCAGAAAATCTAAAAGAGCTGACCTTTGATCTCCCTGTTCCACTATATACCGGTTTTCCTTTTGTAAAAAATGAAACTGATCAAATGTGAGCTCATCTCTAGCCCCAGAGCCGAAGCCATGAAATTCACAACTTAGACAGAAGTATCCTTGCTCATTATTACCATCATGCACTTAGTTTGTCTACTTAATGCCTTGGAACCTTGTCCTAACCAGAGACCCATGATCCTGGGTTGTGAATTTCACAATTTTGGTAAAGTTCGAATTGATATTTATCATGCAAACAGTCTGACTGCTAATTAATTGGTTAAAAAAAGCCAAGCTGAATTAAAAATATGGAATAAGGAATTTTTTTTAATGTGTAAAATTTGTTTGAATTACTATAAAATTGTAATGGAAGATAAAACATTCTTCAAAATCTAAGACATTGTTTAGTAAACATAGATAATACCGTTGCTATTGTCTTAAAGGTACTTGGACACAGATTTGAAGTTAATATTTTCTCATTTTTTCTGTATAATATCAGGAATTATATATTTTAATAGCATTTCACACAAAAATTAATTAAAAATCTTATTTCATTTTAAAGTTATTAAAACTTTAAATTTTTTTGCGGGTTTGATTGACACATCCTTGCACTTTCACAAATTTTAACTTTATTCTTAATCCTTAGGAAAAGTGGCAATTTTGATGTGTTTTAATGAGAAATATTAAAACTTTTATCAAGAAAAATAATTTTATTCAGAGTAGAAATGTTAGAAAGCAAAACACCTTCACAAGTATCGTCATTTCGAACTAAGAAATGCGTACAGAGTTTAGCAAATCGAGCACACTCGTGTTATGTACACAGTTTTTGTAAATAGGGCTCAAGTTCTGTTATTGTTTATATTTAGAATTCACCGGGTGCGTTCAATCATCACAGTCTGCTTACCACAACTGCACGGACTGACAATATATTGTGTGTTTGTTTTGATTTCGAACGTGTCTACTCTGAATTTTCTGGATTATAGTATTAATATTTTTCATTTATACAAAACGAGATTGCCACTTTTCCTAAGGATTAAGAATAAAATTAAATTTGTGAGAGTGCAAGGATATGTCAATCAAACCCGCCGAAAAATTTGAAATTTCAATATCTTTTAAACGAAATAAGATTTTTAATTAATTTTTGTGTGAAATGCTATTAAAATATATAAGTCGTAATATTATAGAGAAAATAATAACTTCAAATCTGTGTCCAAGTACCTTTAAGGACAGATGATACAAACAACTGTTTTCTTTGGTGGAGACTTAATATCATGCCACAAGTTCAGAAAAGTGGATATTTCTTAGAAGTTTTTCTCCAAAGAACTGGAACATGAAATAGACTGGGAAAATATTAGTAATTTTTCTATAAAATTACAAATATGGACAAAACACACTCAGTAAAGGTTTACAGATGGAAACAAATTTTAGAATATGTTACATTGGTGCTAAAAGTGTAATATAAACTTTAGAAAAGTATACCAAGCCAGGTGAATTTTATCAGGAAAAGCAAAATGGTAAAAATTAGCCTATATGATATTGCTCAATTCTTGTCATTTTGCTTTTCCTTAAACATCTTTTAAATTAATGTATTTGATTTTGTTTGAGGAATGCACATAATTTCAGACAATTTGTTGTAAATTTGATTATGAAATAAACATATTAAAACAAGTTCTTTAAAACAAGAAAAAAAACTTCTTACTGTTTGAAAGGTATTCATAAAAATAATTCATAAGTTAAAAGAATGCTTTGAATTCATTGAATTTTCAACATATTTCATAGAATAATACAAATGAACACATTAAAAGAAGGCATTTAATTAAAAGAATGAGTTTAGATAAGTATAATTTCCTAGAAAAATTACAAATTAACTCAATACAATAAAAATAAGTCATTTCATTAAAAGAATGCTTTTAAATAATCATAATTTGTAGAAAAGATACATAACTAACTCTATCCATAACAAATAGAGAAAATTAAAATTATTTTTTATCCAATTTTTACAATCTGAAATTTTTTGGGGCTGAAAATTCTTATATATGCTATCACAAGTTTACTTTTTTGTGATGTTTTAAATACACGTATATAAATTTTTAAATATATGCAGTTTATTTATTCAAGATTCTTGAAATAAGTTTATTGGAAACAATTTCTTTAAGAAACTTAGAACTTACCAAATTCATTTTCTTAGCAGAGGCCTATAAGGTGTAACTGACAAATCAGAAATATGCTATTTTATATATATATACCCAGTAGGTTTTCTCAAATGAAATGAAAAGGATCAATAAATGGGAGAAACTGTTTTTATATACGGTACTTTTTAGCGATATATATTAGTCGACAGAATTTTTTTTGAAATCGAGTCATGTCAAGTTGTCAATAAGATTAAAAAACACTCATTTTCCTATAAGGGGAATATTTACACCCCTCCCCACGCAGTCATGAGGTGGTTTATTATTAACCTGAGAGTACCAAAATACTGACGAGATTTTATTAAGCCAGCAGTCGTAAGAATCCACACAATCCTATTGCCATATAATCAATTAAATCTCGTGTTTCCTATGAAGTCTGACGTAAGTAATATACCTTTATTTTAAATACCAGGGTATGTGGACCTCATTCTTATATAAATAGTATCTTATTATATGTACCTCATTATGTACTTAAAGGCTGTCTTTATAAGACTTTTATTAATTATACCCCACGCAACTAGTTGCGGGAGGTATAATGTTTTTGACCCGTCAGTCAGTCAGTCAGTCAGTCCGTCAGTCAGTCAGTCAGTCCTCTTTTTTTGTCAGCGCAACTCCTCATAAACCGCTGCACAGAATTTGGTCAAACTTTGCAGGTATTTAGGACACAATGTGTAGATGTGCATATTCCCAGAAATTCCGATTCCATTATTTTTTCCCGGAATTTCTGCACTTTTTAACTTAGGCATTTGGCCATACCTTGAATATAGAGATGAACAGTTTGTCAGCGCAACTCCTCATAAACCGTTGCACAG